TTTACTTTTACCCCTTTCTAATAAAAGACCTTTTCCAGGAAAGTATTCTGCAAAGAATGTGAAGACGGCCTTTACTGCCAAAGAGCCACCCCCTCCCTAGTCAGGCGCATCTACTACATGATGACCCTTGCCTAGACCATGGTCATTCCCTCCTTTTGCTCATTCCTATATCCTGTCTTTCTCCCATTTCAATACCACTCATTCAATAAGATTTGTTTGAAGTGTAGCTTCTTTATTTAATCTGTTTAAATTACAGCATATCACTTAACCTCTACTTTTGTGTGTAGTTATCATCAGTATATGCAACACACACACACACACACACACACACACATACACGGAGAAGGATGACATGGAAAACTGGTAACTGGTAGGAAAATGAAAATAATTGACCATAAGGTGTCATGCATATATTTCATTTTAATGTAAATCGTAAAACGAAAACCTTACATTTGACTAAGTTTTTGTTAAGTGTTATTAACATGGCTTTTGTCTTTAATAAAACATTCCTACACTGCAACAGTTTGGTGTCTAGTTCCTTTTAAATAGTATGACAACTAAAGACATTTGTGAACAAATCTGAATGCAGAGTCCTTCAAGATTTTCCACCAGTACTTCATGAGTTGTCTTCTGTACACCTGATTCAACTATAATCCATTTAACACCTAGCTTTGAGTAAAATTTCAAAGCAAAAGACAGTTTTATTGAAACTGCCTTGCCATTCTCATATTTCTTCCAACTGTGTAGAAGTAAATTAAATGATGATTATAATAAGTTTAACTGGGATACACACATTTGGATGGGTGTTCAGGTTGTTTAATCACAGACTCTTAAAGCTCTTAACTGTCCTTAGAGAAAACAAACTTTGGGAAGTGATGTGACTTGCTGAATTTCACAACTAATGAAATGATGCTCTTTTACAGAAATAGCTACGTGATTTTGGTGTGTTTTTGCGTTACTGGTGATGAGTTGTACACTGCTTAGCATAGATGGAACCAGGGATGTAATTTATATGAGCTCATTGTCAGCCCCCATATTTGGGATATTCATTGTCTTATTTTCGTATTAGCAGTAAGTAACTTTGGGATTTAGAAAGGCAAAAGTAATAAGAAATGTTTTGACATTTTGAAATGGGGAATCAATAAATCAATACATCGAGTGCTCCCAATGTTCAGCACGTTATTTAGCCATGGGAAATACTGTTGTGAATAAGAAAAACACAGAATAAAGCAAAGTCTCTGGCTTCCTGAAATTTTTATCTCAGCAATTAAATTCATCTCTAGCAGTTGAATTATTTAACTGTAGGTTGTAAGTGCTATAAAAACTGAAAAATTTGGTGTTATGACATTGTATTACTGCAGATCCATACCTAGTTTGAAGAAATAAGTCAGAGAGGGAAAAGAGCGAGGGTCAGGGAAGGCTGCAGAGTGAATCTGACTTTTTAAATGAACTCTAAAATAAGTGGGAATTGTCAAGTGAATGTGGGGGAGAAAAGGGAAATGTGTGGAGGTTGGGTAGGGGTGAACAAACTTGGCAGAGGGATCAGCCTATCTAGAGGCTCTGAGATAAGACAGGGAATATTTGAGTTTGAAAAAGGGAAAGAGCCTGTGAGTCAGCAGAACAGAAAGGAAGTAAGAGGGGTGGAACAGATGGTGATGAGGAAGTAAGCAGGGTCATCCTGGGTATGTAAGTTCTTAGAGAAAGTATTCATGCTTAGCCCTCAGATCAGTGGGGAGTTATTGAAGAGTTTTTGAATATTTTATTTTGTTCTGTCATATTTGTATTTTTAAAAAGATCACTCTGGCTGCTGTATGAGTAACAAATGATGGGGATTGAAAGATGGTAAACATGAGAAACCATTTAAAATAAAAGTCCAGGAATTGAATGCTGGCATTAGGGATGGAGATAAAGGCATGCAAATATATGTTCAGAGAGGTACACTTTATGGGTTGGTTTTTGCTCTTTTACTTTAATAAACTTCGTTACTTGTTTGCATTCCTAGTTAACTTTCGTAATTTTTACAACCATTCTGTCAAGCTATGACAAAGGCGTCAGGGTCCTGTTGTAAATTTTAGAATCTCAGGGTAGGTTTGACTATATCACTTATCCTCTTGGTCATATAGGAAATAATGCTCTCCTATATTTAAAGTCTTATAGTAGTAATAAAAAGCTTATAATAGTAATAAAATAAAAGTGTAGGTAATAGGGTTTATTGTGTAATAATCCAAGTGTTTTTATTAGAATAGGAATCATGTGGGACAATAGTTTAAACAAAGTGAAAAAGAGCCTTGACTTGTAGGTATAATTTAAGAATAATTGATACTAAGATCTCTAATAGACAGCTACATATGGATCAATAGAAGGAAGTATGGCTGTCACATAAATCGAATGATTTTTAATTGATTTTTATATTCATGCTCCATTTATTAGATAATTTAATTTTATTAAATATTAGATAATTTAATTTTCAAAAGTACTTCACTGTCTTCAGAATATTTATTTAAAAAAATTTTAATGTTTGTTTATTTTTGGAGAGAGAGACACACAGCATTAGCTGGGGAAGGGCAGAGAGAGGGGGGAGACACAGAATGTGAAGCAGGCTCCAGGTTCTGAGCTGTCAGCACAGAGCCTGACGCGGGGCTCGAAGCCATGAACTGCAAGATCATAACCTGAGCCGAGGTCGGCCGCTTAACCGACTGAGCGCTTAACCCAGGCGCCCCCGTCTTCAGAATACTTTAAAAAAATCTTAAAGATAAATACTACTAGAAAATTTTAGTGTATGTTTTTCTAATTTACAAAGGGAAGCAGCATGCTACTTTTTATCTTCCTAACCTAGAAGAGTTCCTTTGAGTTAAGATTAACATTAAATTTGCACATACTCAGTGAAAATGAGTCAAGCAAAGAGAAAATAGTGACCTTGGCTAGAGATTAGAATACCATGTTCTCTGTTTTCTGTATCCTCAACATATTTATATATTGAAATCCCTATTTTAAATTTAAAATAAATTTTGTGTTTGCATTGCTTATTTTCACTTATTTTCAGTGTTGCTCCCTGTAATGAGTTGCAATGGGTTGAAAGCACCTTCTAAAATTAGTAAATTGAAAGCATGATTTTAGAGCTGTGAGACTGAGCTCTGAGATGGGCTCTGTATTGAGTGTGGAGTCTGCTTCAGATTCTCCCTTTGTTTCCCTTTGCCCTTCTCTTGCTCATTCGCTCTCTCTCTCTCAAATAAAATTAAAATATTTTAAAAATTAGTAAACTGTATTTTGTTTGAAAATTTCAACAAAATATATAAATTGCATTGTATCATGAAATGAAACAGGTATAATTTGAAAGGCTATATATTCAGCTTTCTTCTAAATTTGTTAGAATGAGCCGTGTATGGATTAAATGAGTAATGACCTATACCAGCTGATTTTTATTTTGAAATTTTGAGTTATCGATGATTTTTATAAATAACTCATGTCAAGATTTTTGAAATATGCTTATACAGATTGTGATTTTTTTCTGTTTATTTATTTTTAAAGTTTATTTGTTTTGAGAGGGGGCAGAGAGAGAAGGAGAGAGAGAATCCCAAGCAGGCTCCTTACTGTCAGCGTGAACCCCCATGCAGGGCTCAGATTCATGAACCGTGAGATGATGGCTTGAGCCAAAACCCAAGAGTGGATGGTTAACTTACTGAGCCACCCAAGTGCCCCTTTTATTTTTTTTTAAATGAGAATAAAGAAGACTCTAGAGACTGCTAGATTTAAATTTTTATTTTTAGTTTTAAATTGAGGCTGAGTATTGTTACTAAATATACTCTGGCTCTTTTAGTACTCTAAATAATGTTAACCCCTTTTCAGATCCCTGAGTGCAGGTTACCTTTTTAAAGTTAATTTGTTTTTGTGTTCATGTACTTGTAGTTAATTGTTTCTTCCCATATATGTAACAAAATTACAGTTGTTCATTTAAAAAATATGAAGAGTGTTAATAACTTCTGTTTTTATTTGAAAACAGGCATCTGTTACAGTTACTACCACCTTTAAGTTTTCTCCAGAAATGCAACAATAATCAAGTTAATTTCCTCATTAGCTTCTTTAATATAGATGTTTGGGTAAATAATGTAGTGAATTATACATTACTTTTTCTTTGCTCTTCTCTCACCGATCTTCATGAATAGATTCTGTCTTTTATGTACTTGGTTTGTTTCAAAAAAGGGTGAATTAATTTGAATGCTAATTTAAGGAAAATAGCACTGGAAAAATGGTTTATTTAAAAATATCACTTATTCCAAGAACAGGTGTAAACTGTTTTTGGCTTCTCTGTTTTGTTATTTGTTCCACTGGTGTACTAAATTACCAATGTTTCTTGAGGTTTGTTACTTTTGAAATAGAGTACTAGGTAACAATAAAATTATTAATCATCTTTTTCATGGATAGTGTGGCTTTTTATATCATTTTTTCAACTATTTCTGTGTGACTATATTTCAGATGGTCAAGTTTTTAAGTGCTAGTATCTGCAAACCCAAACCAGAACTGGGTTTGTGGTATTTGGTTCAGAACTTGGGCTGTATAATTAAGGAGAAGAATGTGGAGAATTCAGTACGGGTTCAGAAGGAATCAAGAGAGGTCTCAAATGCTCTTTTAAATGCAAACAAAACCTTCTGAATCCCTAATGTTTTCTTATGTGTGGGGTTAGAAATTACATGATATACCTGTTGTCAGATTCATTTCAGTTATAACTAGAAAAAATATTTTTCTATTTATTTTATGCACTTGGAAAGTATTTTTAAGCTTTGGCAGATGTATTAGTTCACATAATATTGTTCAGACCTAGTCAAGTATATTTGATAAACCTTGGGTCTTGTGAAAGGGAGGACTAAGATGTAATAGTAATTAAGTGAACAAAATCTTATTATAAATAAATTCAGTCTCTGTGATAATCATGTTGTCTATGAGTCATTAAAATGAGTTTATACTTTCTGATTAAAACATTTATATAATGTGTTTTTTATAAGGTCAAAAGAAATAGACTGGCAACCTTATTTTACTACACGCATTGTAGATGATTTTGGCACACACCTACGAGTATTCAGAAAGGCTCAACAGAAGATAACAGAGAAAGATGATCAAGCAAAAGGTAATGTGTTTATTCCCTTTGAAAATTAGGATTTTAAAATCTGTTTTTCTTTATTATTCTGTATGTCTTGAATTGTTCTTTTCTTTGTCCAGGTACAGCAGAAGATCTTGTGGATACCTTCTTTGAAGTTGAAGTTGAAATGGAGAAGGATGTTTGCCGTGATCTAGTGTGCACTTCTCCCAAAGATGAAGAAGGTTTTCTTTTCAATTTAACTCTTTGGAAAACAGTGTCTGTTCAGAATGGCTAGAGACAAATTAGCAGAACAACAAATAGAAGGGTATAAGGTGAAATTATTTTTACAGGAACGGTAGTATAGTATAGACGCTGTCACTATTCATTTTATTTTTTTAACTCTTAAAATTAGTTTCCAGGTTCTTTTTTTTTAAAAAGTCATTTTTAAAATTTTAAGATGTGATTAGAAATTACCTCTCTTCTTTTAAAATATAGCAAGCACAAACATGAGTGTGTATTTACTTTTTATGGTCTGTAGTAGATCATCTTCTCCTTGAATTTATCATTTCTACTTTATGAGTACCCTTGTTACCCTAAAGTATTTTATAAGAGATTGAGTATAATTTCAAATAAAATTTATGGATTTGAATGGACTTGTCATTTCTTTGTCAGAGGTTAGAGTAGATAAGCTTAGCTGAGTATGTTGTCTTTTTTTAGTTTTACAGCCACTCAGGTAGGGTCTTTGCTACTTGACACTTTATTGTTGTTATTAACAAGATCAGCTATATAGTTATATTTCCAGGAAGTGTCAGCATATGAACAACTACAGAAAAGCGTTTCTAGTTGTAGAAATTGTTTTCTTTGATTTTTAAAATGTGCTCAACTTTCTCTCTTCTTCTTTTTCCCTTTTTTCTCCTTTCTTTTTTATCTTTATGATGCAGTTAAATTTTTAATTGCCATTTCCTTAGCACTAACATGAAATAATAACCAAATAGGAGATATAGAGTGATGTGCAGCACTTTTATGTATATTGGGCCCTCATAAATTAGTAAAATAGAAGCACATAACTTTTTCTTTTGTTATTATCTGCCAGAATAGTGCAAGTTCTTTCTTTGAAAGAAGAATTACAGGCATATCTTAAAATATGCAAGAAACTTTTACATATCAAAAGATAATTTGTAGTAGAAGTGAAGAATACATGGAATAATTAAAACTGTTTTGGCAAAAATACTTTTGCAATTGAAGTTTCTCTACAATTCAAAAACAGGGTAATGCTGAGCAGAATGAAAAAATATTCATGTGATTAATGAATAGTTACTGTTTGGAGAATAATGAAAAAAACATTTAATGAATACTGTAGTACTGATTAATTATTAAAATAATAAGCTGGTATAATCAGCCACTTATTTCTGGCTTTTTGTGTTTTTGAATCAAGAGTAGGTGGAGATTTTATATTTTCTAATGTAACAGCTACCGTTTCATTTCCAGGATTCCTAAGGGATCTGTGTGAGGTCTTACTATATTTATTGCTACCTCCTGGAGATTTCCAGAACAAGATCATGCGATACTTTGTCAGGGTAAGCTTTAACTCATATCAAATAAATGTCTGAAGAAAGTTACAGTAGTAATTTTCAAAATATTTGGTCTCAAGATCCTGTTAAACTCTTAAAACTTATTGAGGACCCCAGAGAGCTTTTGTTTACATGGCTTTACTTATCAATACTTACTGTATCATAAGTTAAAACTAAGAAAGTTTTAAACATAAAAATTAACAAGCACACATTCCATTAGTTGAATGATGATACCATTACACCATCGTGTTCCTTTTTGAAAATAGCACTGTGTTCTTGTCTCCCTCCATCCCTCAAAGGTCTCTGCACAATACTTTGACAAACTGCCTTAGAGTTAGGTGCTGGGATTTTGGTTATAACAATGATAAGTTTTAAATTTTATTTATAGCTTTATAAACTTACTGGAATTAGACTAATTAAAATAACACTTCTGAATAGAAACTTTAAAAAAAAAAAACCATAGGCAGCTCAGATTCTGCTTCTTATAATTAGAAAATGAGTAAGTAGGATGAGAACAGTCGTTTTGGACTTTTTCTGCTCTGTATGTAAACATTTGTAGTAAAATTCTATATACAGATTTAAAGGAACAATATTTTGGTTTTGTTTGCTGGTTATGATTGAGAAATGCTGGCTAGCTACAACCATTATGCTGGTTGAATGGGTAAAATGAAAGTTCCTAATTTATATGAAAGTGAAAGCTTAGGATCTTCTTCATCTACCATCCAGCAAAATAGATACCAGTTGCTGAGGTGTGCTTTTATGCTTGTATGTTATTATTTAAGCAGTACCACACAATTTCTTAGTAACCTAAGTTGAGTTCAGTGTACTTCTCAAGTAGGGTAGTGGTACTGTGAATTAGGTAGAAAATGCTTGGTTTTAATAGGAAGTGTCTGATAGATTATGTATTGTTAAGACCAATTATTTGGTCTAGTCATTATCACGGGTGATAAAACACCTGACAGGTCTATCACTAGATTTCACATCTGCCACCGAAGGCAGATACTGCTATCAGTCATAGCACTCATTCACAGATTCTTTGTCTACCTGGTACATTAGACAGCCACTGCTAGACAGTATCTCAGCAATTTCCTCATGACTGACATCTTTTCCCTTTTGAACTTCTATCTTGTCTTGGGTTCCATGTCATTGCTTTCCTGATTTTTCTCTTCGTTTGGACTCTTTTTGAGTCCTTCTTATATGCCTTAACTTCTCTTATATCTGACTTTTAAATACTTAAGTTCTTAATCACCGAACTCTCTTCTTACCCATTCCTATGCCTTTAAAATCCATACAAATGCTAATGACTTTCAAATTTATATCTTGGTACAGACTTTCCTTCTGAGCTCCAGGCTCAGACTATGACCAGCTGCCCACTGAAATCACCATTCACTTGACCTTTTAAACTTCAAATGTCCAAAATGGAAATCTTATTCTTGGTTCCATGTGCTCTCTTGCCTTTTAAGTCTATTCCTCCATCCTAGCAAATGCCATGACCATCCAGTAAATTTTTCACATCTTGAGTTCTTCCAGAAGATTATAAGGCCATGCATGATGTGGCCTTGTTTACCTCTCTGGCTCTTGTGCCATGCAGTCACTCACTGTATCCAGTGATATTGATTTCTCCAAAAGTGCCATTTTCTCCCCACCGAAGGGCCATCTCATACTCCTTTTTATCTGCTCAGAATAATTCCCTTTATCCTCTTGGGTAAGTTGTCTTCATCCTTCATATCTCACCTTCTCAGAAATGCCTCCCCTGACCACCCAGTCTCAAGTTCCCTCATAATTCCCTATTACTAAACATAAGTAAACAGTTGATTTCCTTCATAGCATTTGCCACATTTAAAAATTAGAGCTTGGTTGTTGTGTTTATTTACTTGACGCCTCTTTCTGCCATTAGTACTGTACTCCCTATAAGGACATACGACAAATCTGTATCATCATTATGTACTTAATGGTTATCACCATACCTGGCACATAAGCAGACACCCAGTCAGAGAATTAGTTTTAATAAGAGGAAGCCTGTTTGCACTTCTTACTGGCTGTGGTGTACATGCTACTTCAGCTTCTTGAAGATTAAGCTTACTCTTAGGAGACATGAATAAAGATCTACCTTATTATATGAGATTATAGTTTAAATAAGTAGGATTGTTTAAAGAGAAAATATATTTTGCTAGAGGTTGCTTATTTGTTTATTTATTTCTTTATTTTTACCCATAGAGATAGTCGTCTCCTTTATTTATTTAAAATAGTTTATTGTCAACATGGTTTCTATATAACACCTAGTGCTCATCCCCACAAGTCCCCTCCTCCATGCCCATCACCCCCCTTTCCCTCCCCTCCACCCCCATCAGCCCTCAGTTTGTTCTCAGCATTCAAGAGTCTCTCATGGTTTGCCTCCCTCCCTCTCCCCAACTATTTTTCCCCTTCTCCCCCATGGTCCACCATTAAGTTCCTCCTAATCCTCCTATACGTGTAAACATAATGGTATGTGTCCTTCACTGCCTGACTTATTTCGCTCAGCATAACACCCTCAAGTTCTATCCATGTTGCTCCACATAGCCAGATTTCATTCTTTCTGATTGCCGTGTAGTGTTCCATGGTATAGATAAACCACATCTTCCTGATCCATTTGTCCATTGATGGACACTTAGGCTCTTTCCATGTTTTGGCTATTGTTGAGAGTGCTGCTATGAACATTGGGGTCCATGTGCCCCTATGCCTCAGCACTCCTGTATCCCTTGGGTAAATTCCTAGCAGTGCTATTGCCGGGTCCTAGGGCAGTTCTAGTGTTAATTTTTTTGAGGAATCTCCACACTGTTTTCCAGAGGGGCTGTACCAGTTTACATTCCCACCAACAGTGTAGGAGGGCGCTTGTTTCTCCACATCCTCGCCAGCATCTAGAGTCCTCTGATTTGCTCATTTTAGCCTCTCTGACTGGCGGGAGGTGGTATCTCAGTGTGGTTTTGATTTGTATTTCCCTGATGAGGAGGGACGCTGAGCATCGTTTCATGTGTCTGTTGGCCATCTGGATGTCCTCTTTGGAGAAGTATCTGTTCATATCTTCTGCCCATTTCTTCATTGGATTATTTATTTTTCGGATGTGGAGTTTGGTGAGTTCCTTATAGATTTTGGATACTAGCCCTTTATCTAATATGTCATTTGCAACTATCTTTTCCCATTCCGTCGGTTGCCTATTAGTTTTATGGATTGTTTCCTTTGCTGTGCAGAAGCTTTTAATCTTGATGAGGTCCCAGTAGTTCATTTTTGCTCTTGATTCCTTTGCCTTTGTGGATGTGTCAAGTAAATTGCTGCAGTTGAGGTCAAGGAGCTTGTTTCCTGATTTCTTTTCTAGGGCTTTGGTGGTTTCCTGTCTCACGTTCAGGTCCTTCATCCATTTTGAGTTTATTTTTGTATATGGTGTGAGAAAATGATCTAGCTTCATTCTTATGCATGTTGCTATCCAGTTCTCCCAGCACCATCTGTTAAAGAGGCTGTCTTTTTTCCAGTGGATACTCTTTCCGGCTTTGTCAAAGATTAGTTGGCTGTACATTTTTGGGTCCAATTCTGAGTTCTCTATTGCATTGGTCTATGTGTCTGTTGTTGTGCCAGTACCATACCGTCTTGATGATTACAGCTTTGTAGTAGAGGCTAACGTCTGGGATGATGATGCCTCCCGTTTTGATTTTCTTCTTCAATATTACTCTGGCTATTTGGGGTCTTTTGTGGTTCCATACAAATTTTAGGATGGTTTGTTCTAGCTTTGAGAAGAATGCTGGTGCAATTTTGATTGGGATTGCATTGAATGTGTAGATTGCTTTGGGTAGTAATGACATTTTAACTATATTTACTCTTCTGACCCATGAGCATGGAATATTTTTCCATTTGTTTGTGTCTTCTTCAGTTTCCTTCATAAGTTTTCTATAGTTTTCATCATACAGATCTCCTATATATTTGGTTAGGTTCATTCCTAGGTATTTTATGGTTTTTTGTGCAATTGTGAATGAGATCAGTTTCTTGATTTCTCTTTCTGTTGCTTCATTGTTGGTGTATAAAAATGCAACTGAATTCTGTACGTTGATTTTGTATCCTGCAACTTTGCTGAATTCATGGATCAATTCTAGTAGGCTTCTGGTGGAGTCTGTCGGGTTTTCTATGTAGAGTATCATGTTGTTTGTGAAAAGTGAGAGTTTGACTTCTTCTTTGCCATTTCAGATGCCTTTTATTTCCTTTTGTTGTCTAATGGCTGATGCTAGGACTTCCAGCACTATGTTAAACAACAGTGGTGAGAGTGGACATCCCTGTCGTGTTCCTGATCTCAGGGGGAAAGCTCTCAATTTTTCCCCGTTGAGGATGATGTTAGCTGAGGGCTTCTCATAGATGGCATTTATGAATTTTAAGTAAGTTCCTTTTATCCTGACTTTCTCGAGGGTCTTTATTAAGAAGTGATGCTGTATTTTGTCAGATGCTTTTTCTGCATCTATCAACAAATAGATTGCTCTTTTAAAGTGTTGGTTTTTTAAGGTTTTTTTAATGTTTTATTTATTTCTGAGAGAGAGAGAGAGAGAGAGACAGCGTGAGCAGCGGAAGATCAGAGAGACACAGGGAGACACAGAATCTGAAGCAGGCTCCAGGCTCTGAGCTAGCTCTCAGCACGGGCCCCGATGTGGGACTTGAACCCACAAACTGTTGAGATCATGACCTGAGCCAAAGTCGGACACTTAACTGACGGAGTCACCCAGGGGCCCCTAGATTGCTCTTTTAGACCATTATTTCATTTCTTTATGTTGAATAATTAATAGGGTACTATATTTAGCATATCGGTGTTTTTCTTTTAACTTGATAGTTCATCAGTTTTCTTTTGTTAGTAATTCACATTTTCCCCAAAGATGTTTTTGATCAGATTAAATAACAGATTAAAGAGTTGTTACTTCCTTCCTTTATAGGGATCCTCTATATGGATTGTACAAATTACAGAACTTGACCTCAATAATTGCTATTTAATCATGTCTGCTCTCTTTCCATTACCATGTTTTATTTATTTAAAAATCCATGGTCTCAGTGACTTTGTAGCTGTTAAGCTTTCATATTTGACAGCTGGTGTTTCTCTCAAAGTAGAAATTGTATGGAAAAGGCTACTTATCTTGGAATGTTTAGAGATTTCACTAGAACCCATATAGGAATTGTTGAGTCATATGATTACCTCTTCACTAACCAAACCCTTTCATGAGGTGAATTAGAAGATCAAAGTAATTTTCTTTTTTTATTTTTTTTTAATGTTTTTTATTTATTTCTGAGAGAGAGAGAGACCGTGTGAGCAGGGGAGGGTCAGAGAGAGAGGGAGACACAGAATCCGAAACAGGCTCCAGGCTCTGAGCTAGCTGTCAGCACAGAGCCTGATGCGGGGCTCGAACTCACGAACCGTGAAATCATGACGTGAGCTGAAGTCGGACACTTAACCTACTGAGCCACCCAGGCACCCCTTGATCAAAGTAATTTTCTAAGACTGATTTCATTGACTATCAGAAGCACTAAATTTAGAATTCTTTCCCACTTTTTTTTTCTTATTTTGCAGACAAACTTACAGAAAACATGGTTTTGTTTATGAATTTTCTCCTTACATAGTATATTTTAAAATTTGAGCATATGTGGCCAGAGATAATTTGAAGGAATTAATTATATAAATGTAATTTTTATAATTTGGAGACTAAAGTTAATCTTGAAAAAATAGTTCTATTTTTTCTATAATTACTTCTAATTTTAGACTGTAAGATATCTCAAAAGACACTTCAAAAATTTATTGGACCTGACGCACATTGGGCATAGAGGTTACTTAAAGAAAGATGTGCCTGGCTAGCTCAGTTGGTGGAGATGCAATTCTAGATCTCAGGGTTGTGAGTTCGAGCCCCACTTTGGGTATAGAGATTACATGTAAAAAATGTGAAGAAAAGAAAAGAATGATAAAACAGAAAGTTATTTGAACTTTCATGGATGCCTTCTGGAAATGTTAATTGATCATTAAATAATAGTTGTCAGAGGCTTGTACAGCTTACAAAAAGTGGAATTTATATAAAATAACTTGCTTAAGGAAAATAAAGTGAAAGCTTCCTTTATGAACTTATTATACCAGAAAAAGAACCAAAAAAGTTAGAGATCTTGGTAAAAGGAATAAATAAATTGGTCCTTTAATTAGAGAAGTGAAACATGCTATGAAACTTACAGTTATTTAACCTTTTCAGTATTCTTAAGAAACCATGTTTTTATAAATTTAGATCTCACATGCATAAAAGAATGAAGATTAATAATGGGTGAAAATATGATATAAAAAGAATCAGCACCAACTTCTTAATTTTCTTTATATCCATCCTTTAAATATTTATCAGATGCTTACTATGTTTAAGACAATGACCTTGAGTAAATATTTTTGAAGGTATTTAAATCAGTAGATCAAGTAATAAATGTTACTTATATACAGAAGGTTCCTGAGTATTTGTATTATTTCAGAGAAATAGAAGATAACACAGTTATGTGGAGAATAATAAGTGATAAACCCCATAAATTTAGGGCATGAGTGTATCTTAAACATGTAAGTAAAAAAGTGTTCAGCTGGAATGATCAGGGTTTAATTTGATTAGAAATTTCATTCTGTAATCAATCCTTGAAAGAAGAGCTGGATTTTAATAGGTTGGAGCATAAATAGTTGTAAAGAATGGGAAGATATATTCTAGAGAAGGATGAATAATTATATTAGCATATTATTATTTTTATTTTCTATTAAGAAAATTTTCAAACACAAACAAGTATAGAGAATAATGCCCTAGACATTTATGTACCAACTACCCAAATTTAACCACTGTTAATATTTTACTATAGTTGCTCTTTTCCTCCCTTGAAGGTAACCACTGTTCTGCAATTGGTGTGTCTTTTCCTATTATTTTTTGTTTTTATACTTTTAATTAGACGTAGGAATTCATAGACACATGGGGACATGTTGTGCCTTCTAAAAATTGACATAAATGCTAACATACTGGAGATACTCTTCTGCTTTTTTCCATTCAACTCCAGATGTCATTGTGGAGATACAACCAAGTTGATGTAGTTAGCTTCATCTCATTTATTTTAACTGAGGTATATTAGCTCATCTTTTTATAAGATGTGTTGGTTATCAAGTTTTACATGTGTCATACCTTTCTTAAGTAACAACATTGTGTTATTTACATTATGCTATTGATTTGAGAAGTATATTAGGTTAAATTTGTTTTTATTTTTTTACAATTTTTGTCCAGGAAATCCTTGCACGAGGAATTCTTCTTCCATTAATAAATCAACTCAGTGATCCTGATTATATTAATCAATATATCATATGGATGGTATGTAGTTTCTAAAATTACAACTCTGTTTTTAAAGCACTTTTTAAAAATATAGAAATAGTATTTGGGGATCAGGATGATCAAGCAATAATTATTAAATAAATTAGGTAAAATATATTTAAAGATAATCTTTATGTTTTTAGTATTTCTATTTGCTAATATGTTGAATGTGCTAGCCAAATTTTTTATAAGAAGTTTGTTGATAAGATAATCCTGTTACAAGTTTGGTATTATTACCACATATTTAAATTTTAAAAAGGGATGTTTTACTGCCTGAGTGTATAGATTATGAGTACTTTTAAAAGCTGCTGTTTTGTTTCAAACATGGCTGTGGTCTGAACTGCCTAAATAGCATGTACTGTATGTTTTATACTATATAGTGGAGGAAAATAGGGTAGGAGCCCTAGACTGAGAACGTGAGGCTATGTAAGTTTTCTCATCCTGGCAGACATATCAAAGGGTCAGTGATTACTAAGTTTACTGGTTCTAATTATTTTTGTATGTTATTGTATATGATTTTCCTCAATAAATTCATAGTCAAGGAAGAGTTGTAATGAGCTATTGCTGGGAATACTTTGATAAATACTTCAAGACTTTGATTCATTTTCTTGAATTGGAATTTCTTTTCCACAGTTATGCTCCATTAAGTCAGTCTAGTTTTCTTAGGAAAGAGCTACTTTCTTGTTCTTTGTTTTCAGTATCCATTATCAAACTATGAAGGTCACACAACTTGATTCTTCTTTTCCTATGTTCTATGAGGCTCTACCCAAAAGCTTTAAAACTATGCATATCTAATTAAATTGTTTTAAAAAAGCATATCCTGTGGTTAGGAATTCTACTCCTGAAACGTATTCTAAAGTAATAGTAAGAAGTTTGAAACAATCTATATTTAAGGCCACTAATGGCAACATTGCTTATAATATTAAAAACTTGAAAGCTTTTTAAGTGTTCTACATAGACGATTGTGTAGTTAGGGCATATTGACACAGTAGAATACTTTGCAGCCATTAAAAAGAATGATGATAGTTTATCTTGAATATGAAAATATGTTTATATTTTTATTTTGGAAAGGATAACTGAAAGCGATGTGTTTGTAGGTAATGGTTTTTAAAAACAAATAAGTAAATAATATTTATTTATGACTGTGTAACTCTGATAGTGTATATACTGATTGAAATTTTAATAGATAGTATTATAAAAGTTATAATTTTTCTCTTGTTTATATATTTTACTTCTTAAGGAATATTGGATATATAACAAAAACGTAATTGTTTAAGAAATAAGAAAACACAAATAAAATTTAAAAACACTTAAGTAATAAAATAAGCATAAATTGTATTAAGAAATTATGACACCAAAAAAATGGATGTTTTATACTTTTTATACTGTGTAATCTTATCTGTGTTATAGAAAACGGTACATGTTCACCAGAATGTTATCTCTCTCACTCATGGGATTAGGAAATATTTTTATTCCTATTTATATTTTTCTTTGGCTTTCAATTTTTCTTTTGCTGATCTTGTATTAACTGATTAATTATATGGTGAAAACATTTTGGGGGATAGATTTAACATAAACAGACTCTAAAAGGAATTCAAACCACCAAATTTTACTTGTTCATCCCACAGTTGGGCTTCTGTTGCTATTATGTATGATACTTGTATCTTTTTGCTGTTTAATGAACAGGAATTGATCACTGTTTTACTTTGCAACACAGTATCAGAAGATATATTTAAAAAAGAAGAGTTTATCAATAAAGGATCTTTAGCCTACTTGTGGTCTGGTTTATAGTCTTTTGACATTATTTGTGTGGAAAACCTTGTATGCATAGGTGTTTTAAGTATTAAAATAAACTCAGTTCTTATTCTTAGCTCAATGATATTAATGATATCTAACTGTAAAGTTCATTTATTTATTTATTTATTTTTGAGAGAGAGGGCGCAAGTGAGCAAGGGCCAGAGAGCGAGCGAGAACCCCATGAGTCAGAGAGGAGAGAGAGGGAAAGAAGCAGGGCTCACCTGAAAGAGGGCTCGTACTCACAAACCATAAGTTCATGACCTGAGCCAAGGTCTGGTGCTTAAGCACATGAGCCACGTGGGCACCCATAGAGCAAGCTGTTTAGTAGTAATATATCTTCTCTTTGTATAAAATGGTAGTGTTACCCAACAGTATTTTTCTTAAGTTTCTGAAAATTTATTTTGAGAGAGAGAGGCAGAGAGAGAGAGAGAATCCCAAGCAGGCTCCTGCCGTGAGCACAGAATCCTACTCAGGGCTCAAACTTATGACCTTGAGATCATGACATGGTCGGAGATCAAGAGTCTGAAGCTTAACTGGAAGCTTAACCCACTGAACCATCCAGGCACCCCACCCAATAGTTTTCAGTTTTAAGTCATTTCTAAAAATAGTATGGGTGAATTTGCATTATTCATCTCTAAGAATGTGTTTTTTTAATACAAGCTAATTAAGGATAAGTCTTATCTTTTACTGTGGAATAGATTACTTAATTGGCTCATATTGTTATCTCCAACTAGAGCAGATAAATGGACAGCTATTAATTTGTTTCTTAAGGTATTCTTAGAAAAATCAAATCTTTAATAACCTACCATTTTTTAATCACTCAAGCAAATTTACATAAAGTAACATAAATTTTTAAATGGTCTTTCAAAGTTGTGTTCTAATTTTGCACTTCAGTGGCACCATTTGAGAGTTCTTGTGTCTCCACTTTCTCATCAACATTTGGCATTGTCATTTTGTTGTGGTTAACAAAATGATATTGGGCATCTTTTCATGTGCTTATTGGCTAGTTTTTCCCTAATCCTGAACTTAAACAACCCCTAGTTCTTTGACTCCTTATGGAGAAGGGGCAGTATCCCAAGTCTGCTACTTTTTCATAGCTCTCTTTATTACTTTACTTAAATTTTATTGGCAGTCACAGTGGTTAGTCACTTCATAATACCCTTGACTACTTTTTCTCTTTGTTATTTGCTTGGTGAAACCACACTGTGGTTAAATTTAACTCCACTGTCAACCCTATTCCTGTTCTTAAACAGCGCGTGGCTAGAAAAAAAGACAAAATGACAGAGTTATTTATGTCATGACATTGATTCTGTTCATTTTAGGTCAGAGAATGTTACTTTTCTGTTTAAAACCCTCCAGTAACTTTTCATTCCGCTCAGAGTGAAAGCCACATCTTGTACCAGATTTGCCTTACACTGCCACTCATCTTGTCTTCTGCTCCTCTACCACTCTTAGGGACCATGAGTACAGAGATTTTCACTTTGTTTTTGTATATGCACTGGGACAAGCTGCCTAGCACATGGTAGGCGCTGAAGATTCATTTTTTCCTTAACAACTACATCCCCCTCCCACATATTCTTTGAACTTTTTTTTATAGATCCGTGATTCTAATTGCAACTATGAGGCCTTTATGAACATTATTAAATTGAGTGACAATATTGGAGAGCTAGAAGCAGTCAGAGATAAGGCAGCAGAAGAATTACAGTATCTTCGATCTCTAGATACAGTTGGTGATGGTAAGTCATTTAAGTATAAAAATGTTTCACTTCTTTAATCATTACTTATCTTTAAACAAAACTTTAATTTACCTGTCATTTTATGCTTTTTTTTTTTTACACCTTAACTAAATCTAAATCTTTATTATGTTAACACATGCTAAGAATAAAAGCATTATAATTTTCCGAGTGTGAGGCAATTAATATTGTAAGCCTCTAAAAATAATTGACATGGTTTAACTTTAATTAAATAATTTCATCCTAAAATTTCAGATTATTTCTTTTATTAAATGTTTGCTCTGTTCATTGGTTATTATGATAAATTACAGTGCATGTTTAAAGTATTTCATAAATAACATTACTGCTTTCTAGCTCACAATCAATTTGTTTGTTTTTAGATATCAACACTATCAAAAATCAAATAAATAGCTTATTATTTGTAAAGAAAGTATGTGACTCAAGAATACAGCGGTTGCAGTCAGGCAAAGTAAGTACTTTATAGTTAATGTTTAGTTACAAATACTTTATATTCATTTAAATGTCTAGCAAATAACAAGAGTTGGGAGAGCTAGAAGCAGTGTAGCCCTCCACAAAAGGACTTGGCAGAAAAATTTTTTTGTATACACTGTAGTTTCCTAAGTATTTATTAAACAAAACTAAAGAGATTAAAAACTTTCTGAATAATGCTATAGTAAATAAAGGTTTTATTTCTTATATTCATCTATTCATTTTTTATTCAGAATTCAACATTTATATAATTTTATACTGTGGACACCATTGTATATAGACAGAATCTCTCTCTTCATTGAACTTAACATTTTGGTTGCAGAGTCAAAAAAAAAACTAGTAAGTAAGTTAATATATAATGGTAAAAAATATAAAATATGAAAAATAGCAAATAAAGCAAATTAGAGGGATAGAGAATGTCTATGATTGTTTCAGATAGATGCTGACTGATTTGGTGACATGTGAGCATAGAGAAATCTCATAGAATAATGAGAAAATCTTGAGAATTTTTTTTTTTTAATAATCTTTCAGGCAAAGGTGAAAGCATATACAAAGGCCATGAGATAGGAAAGTGTTTGCTGAGTGAGAGCCAGTCAGTATGGCTGGTATAGAATGAATGAGAAAGGATTATAGTAGGAATGAAACTGGAGAGGAACCTTGGGGGTTAGATCATATATGGTTTTATCTGCCATAGTAAGGTTATTTAAAAATTCTAATTATGGGAATCCATTGGAGATTTGTTCTGGTGACTGACATGATTTGACTTATGAGTTAGAATGACTGTTTTGACTGTGTGATGATTAGATTGTGGTGGAGTTGCGGCGGACAAAAATGGAGACTGAGAGATCATTTAGGAGACTACTGTTTTAGTCCAGAGAGATGTCTGCAGAGGTTGTGAGAAGTAATTGGAGACTGGATATAGTACTGTCAGATTTGCTAACAGAGTAAGTATGGAGTGAGAGGAAAAAAAGGACTCAAGGAGAATTCCTAGAATTTTTGGCCTGAGCAACTGCATGAATAGTGTTACTGTTTACTAAAATAAATAATACAGGGATGAGAAAGGGGGTTTGGCAGAGAGAATAAAATTTTGGATGTTTTAGTTTGATATCCCTGTTAAACAGTCAAGTCATCCCACTAAATGGTAAACTTTGTAGTTCAAGGGAACGGTCAGTGATGGGCCTAAACTTTGAGGATCCTCAGTATTATTAGACAGTTATTTAAAGCTAAGAGACTGGATGGATGAGGTTTCTTACAGGAGTCAAGGTAAGTAAGAAGATACCAAGGACTTAATCCAGAGGCACCGTAGTTGCTAGAGTTTAAGACAAAGTGGAAGATCTAGCTAAAGAAACAGCCAAGTGGCTGGTGAAACTGAAGGAAAACCTGGCAGTGTGATATTCCAGAGGCCAGTACAGAGTGTTTTTAAAGAAGTGAGAGATCACATATTTCAAAGGCTGCTAATAAGTTGAGTAAGATAAAGACTTAGAATTGGCCATTAGATTTGCCCCCAAGGGGATATTGGTGATCTGATGATAGCATTTTGGAGTAGTAGAGAGAAATCCTGATTGAAACCAGTCCATAAGAAAATGGGAAGAAGTGAATTAGAAACAGTGATTATAGGTAGCTGTTTGGAGGAGTTCTACCCTAAAGAGGAACAGAGAAATGAGGCTTTAAAAGAGAAAAAAAAAAAAAAAAAGTTTTGCTTTTAGTGTAGTCAGTTTAGTTTTGACTCATTTTCTATTTTGGAAATGTATTGTGACTCTCCAGGCTTGTAATTTTGCAGTGTACTTAAATGTATTAAAGAACAGAAGACTTATTTTTGTAAATCTTGATTTAATTTGCTGGATTAATTATAAATGACATTACTTGAGGCCACATTTGTCATATACCTAAGTGTATGTGTACGTATGTGTTTGTTTTAGTTAACTGTTGTTTTTAAATTATATACACATGCAAATTCAGAATAGAAGAATGTTGTGATTTGACTTATGCGTAGGTTATCATATCTAGACCTTAGAGTTAGTGATCCTTCATCATCATTGTTTAAAGTCCATTTGTTGGAACACCTTTGATAGCAAATCCTTTTAAAATTTAGATGTCTTGTTTGAAGCCTGTTAATTCTCTTCTGAATATCAAGCTTCACCTTTTTAGTAGTTCAGGTCATACAGTGTTTTTTCCTTAAAAGAAAAATCAGAATTCCTACAGAGATGAAGTTTTTTTAACCATACTACTCATCTTGAAGTCCTAGAAGGCCTTTTATCTCTTTTATTACTCATAAGATTGCAGTGAATACTCTTCTGTGTCCCTTACCTGTGGAGCCGTTTCTGGGAAGGAGAAAAGGGGATAAATTTGAAGGAAGAAGATTTAGATAGGATAAGTCATATGCTGCCATTGGGTAGCTTTATGCCAGACATTTTAAGTTACTTATCTGTTTATTATGCAGTATTTATGAAGACAAATACTAATTACAGAGGACATTTTGCCTCCACTTTTCCAATTATCTTCCTTCTCCTTTATTTATTACCTATATCTAATTTAGTATCCACCCCTAATTAAGGCAGTCTGTCTAACTTTCAGAAAAATCTTACAGTCTTTCTTTCTTATTTATTTTAATGTTTATTTCTTGTTGATACAAAGAGAAACAGCATGAGTAGGGGAGGGGCAGAGAGAGAGAAAGACACAGAATCCGAAGCAGGCTCCGGGCTCTGAGCTGTCAGCATAGAGCCCAACGTGGGGCTCGAACCCACAAACCATGAAATCATGACCTGAGCCGAAGTCAGACGCTTAACTGACTGAGGCACCCAGGCACGACATGTCTTCTTTTTTTTAAATAGAGAGTTGTAAGAGATGGATTTAAGAATACAGACAAACTGATTCTTCACTGAAACATCATGGATTTTATGGGAGAGGCTGCAGGCTTTGAAAACAGTCTTTTTTGCCAGCTCTGTAATCATAGGCAGCTTTTCTGATATTCAGCTTTCTTCTCCATTACGTAGGATTGGTGATATTTATCCAATAGCGTTGTTGTGGAGAATAATGTGTATAATATACCTAGCATTGTGCTTGACATATAGATTCTCTAAGTTTTGAACCTGTGTTTTCTTTTTCTTTTTTATCCATGTGTACATAGTTACCTTGCTGTGTTATTTTGAAAAGTTAACATAATTTAGTGTGTAGATAGTGTGAGAAGAAACACATTTTATATAAAGACTATAGAGTTTTTACTCTGTGAGAAGCAAAATTACTCTTTGCGAATATTTTGTTTTCTCATTGGATAGACTTCAATCTATACTTGAGAATGTTCATATTTATTTATTCTTGGACATTGTAAGTACTCCAAACATCCCCTTTAGCCCCTAAAATATTTGTTTTCATTTGAAATATATGTAGAGATAGAGAATACTTGAAATTCTAATAATTTAGAATTTTTTTGTATTGGAAGAAATGGATGTTTATCATACCTTTAATGCATATTGACTAAGCAACTTAAAATAGCTAGGAAATTTTCTAGGCTTGTACCATTTTGGGAGCCCAAATGAATGAGAAGGAAAAAAACATCATTCCATTATTTTTACATCTACGTAAAGATCTTTAACCTAATGAGTGAGTAGATAAAATATTAACTTACATTTACTTTTATTTGTAGGAAATAAATACTGTGAAACTGGCAGCAAACTTTGGGAAACTTTGCACAGTCCCTTTGGACAGCATTCTTGTAGATAATGTTGCACTACAGTTTTTTATGGGTAGGTAAATGCATTTTATGAAAACAACATAGCCCTTGAATTTTATTTTTAAGTTTATTTATTTTGAGAGAGAGAGAAAGAGAGAGAGAGAGAACATGAGCAGGGGAAGGGCAGAGAAATGAAGAGAGAGAATCCCAACCAGGCTCCACACTGTCTGCATGGACCCTAATGTGGGTCTTTAACTCACGAACTGGGAGATCATGACTGAGCGGAAATCAAGAGTCAAACACTTTACTGAGTGAACTACCCAGCTGCCCCAGCGATTAAAAGTTGAAGTTTTTATAATTGTAAAGATTATTAAAATATAAATATCTGAAATTAAGCGTGCCATATATGTCTTTCCTCCACTCTTCATTTTCTGAAATATTCCTTTTCTTTGGAAATCATCCAGTGGAGATTTATTTTGTTTTGAGGGAAAGAAATGCTCTTTATAACTTAAGTGTGTATTTGTTAAATTGCTTTTAAAATAAACCCTAGGAGAGGCACCTGGGTGGCTCAGTTAAGCATCCGACTTGTGATCTCAGCTCAGGTCTTGATCTCAGGGTCATGAATTCAAGTCCCACATTGGTCTCCATGCTGAGTGTGACGCCTACTTAAAAGAAAAAAGAAAAACCCAATGATGTTTAAAAATAAACTCTTGGAGATTCTACCATGAATTTAAATTATTTATTTAATTAGTTTTTTAATTAATTTGAATGGGAGATAGACTGAGCAGATGAGGGGCCGAGAGAGAGGGAAAGAGAAAATCCCACGCAGGCTCCACACAGTCAGTATGAGCCCAACACAGGGCTCGAGCTCATGAACTGTAAAATCATGTCCGGAGCTGAAGTTAGGAGTCAGACACTTATGACTAAGCCACCCAGGTGCCCCCAAATTGTTTGAGAAAGAGTACTTTATCAGCAGTACATGGTACTTATAACTTACTTGTATCATTTGGTGTGTGAATGGGAGATAGATTTTTTATATCATTGTAATATATAAAAATATTTAGTAATTTTGTTAATATTATAGTTGATCTTGAACAACACAGATTTGAGCTGTGCAGATTCACTTATACTTGGATTTTTTCCAGTAACTACAGTACAGTAATACAAAATGTATTTTTCTTATGACTCCCAATATTTTCTTCTCTAGCTTACTTTATAGGAAGAATATAGTATATGATACATTTAACGTACAAAATGTTATATATGTTAATTAACTGTTTATATTGTTGGTAAGGCTTCCAGTCAACAGTGGACTACTAGTAGTTATGGTTTGGGGGAGTCAAAAGTTAGACATAGATTTTTGACTGTGTGGTGAGTCAGTGCCCCTAACCTCTGCATTGTTTAAGGGTCAACTATACATCAAAACTGTTTTTATCTGGAGGGCATTTTCATTAAACCTCCCTGATTCTTCATTGTCATGACCCAAAACATAAATACATGGCTTGTTGAAGATCCTAATCCTTATTTTTAATATTAGAAGAAATATTAATATTACAATTAATAATTGTTATTGAGAACAGAAGCTGAATATTGAAGTAATTTATTTCTTATGAAGCCACCTGTGGCAATTATATCTCCTAGAAATTTTATCATGAAAAATGAAATTTAAAAAAATATGCTTCCAGGGGCGCCTGGGTGGCTTAGTCGGTTAAGCGTCCGACTTTCGCTTAGGTCATGATCTCGCGGTTTGTGGGTTCGAGCCCCGCGTCGGGCTCTGTGCTGACTGCCAGCTCAGAGCCTGGAGCCTGTTTCGGAGTCTGTGTCTCCCTCTCTCTCTGACCCTCCCCTGCTCACGCTGTCTCTCTCTCCCTAGCTCTCCTAAAAATAAATAAAAATATTTAAAAAAAAAAAAATATGCTTCCATTCGTGCTTTTTACATAACTGTGGTCTTTTTAGCCTAATGATTTGTAATGTAAGTATTCTTTACCTCAAGCATTTGCCTAACATTTTGAAAGTATAGAGTTTTAAGTATTTGAAACGTTAATCCTTCTTGTCATGTGGTTACATGCACCCAAAAAAATGTGACATGAATAACTATGTTGTTACGGATTTTGTTAGATTACATGCAGCAAACTGGAGGTCAGGCACATCTCTTCTTCTGGATGACAGTGGAAGGATACCGAGTTACAGCCCAACAGCAACTAGAAGTTTTATTAAGTCGTCAGAAAGATGGAAAACATCAAACTAACCAAACCAAAGGTCTTTTAAGAGCAGCTGCTGTCGGGATATATGAACAGTATTTATCAGAAAAGGTGAGAATACTGTTTTCTTATGTTCTTTGGTAGTATCATTAGCAATTTTTGTGACCCTTAAAAATGAATATTCATTACTAATACTAGGCATTGCTACTTGAAAACAGTGTCTCATTTAATCCTGATAACAGTCTTATTGTATATTATTATCTTTATTTTATAGGTAAAGAAACTCATGTTTAGAAAATTGAATTAACTTTGCCAAGGTCATGCAACTACTAACGATAGAATCAAGATTCAAGGGCATACACTGTAGATTCAAGGACACAAAAGATTGAAAGTAAAAGAATGGAAAAAGATAAACCATGCAGGCAGTAACCAAAACAAAGCTGGAGTGGCCACACTAATATTAGGTAATAGATTTTAAGACATAAGTTGTTATTAGAGAAAAGAGGAACTTTTGATAATGATAAAAGGGTCAGTTGATCAACATGATAAAATAATTATAAACACAGCAGCAAAACCTCCACAGAGACATAGAACAAAACCTGACAGAATTGAAGGGAGATAAAGACAATTTATTGATAATAGTTGAAGACTTTAGTACCTACTTAATAATTGATAGAACAATTAGAAAATGATCAAATGGGAAAAAATGGCCAAAATTATACAAGAATTGAAGAACACTATAAATCAATTGGATCTAACACATCTATAGAATACTTGTACTAACAATAGCAGAATACACACTGTTTTCAGGCTCACATGGAACATTGTCTAGGGTAGATAGACCTTTTATTAGGCCATAATACAACTCTGAATTTAAAAGGATTGAAGTCCGAGGCACTGGGGGAGCTCACTTGGTTGAGCATCTGGCTCTTGATTTTGACTCAGGTCATGATCTCACCATTAAGGGGATTGAGCCCCCTGTCAGCCTCTGTACTGACAGCATGGAACCTGTTTGAGATTCTCTTGTTCCCTCCCTCTCTGCCCCTTCCCTGCTTGCATACTCTCTCTCTCTCAAAAATAAATAAACAATATTTAAAAAGTATTGAAATCCTAGAAAGTATGTCCATTTATCATTGTACAGTTAATTAGAAATTAACAAAGGAATTTTGAGAAATTATAAATATTTACAAATTAACACATTTCTAAATAGTCTCTGGGTCATAAAAAGATCAGAAAGAAGATATTTTGAATTGAATGAAAATGAGAACACAGTGTATCAAAATTTATGGGATGCAGTTACAGCAGTGCTTAGAGGGAAATATGTAGCTGTAAATGTCTAGTTAGAAAGAAGAAAGATCTCAAAACAACAGTTTACATTTTCACCTGAAACCAAAAAAAAGAAAAGCAAAAATTCAAGGTAAACTCAAGGAAGGAAGCAGTAAAGATCAGAATAGAAATCACTGAAATGAAAAACAGCAATGAAAACAATAAAACCCAAAATTGGTTCTTTAAAAGAAAAATAAAATTGGCAAAACTTTAGCAGGCTAGGCCAAGAAAGAAAGAAAGCCACAGATATCAAAATCATGAATCAAAGAGGAGACATTATCACCAACCCTATAGAAATCAAAAAGACCATAAGCAAATGTTATGAAGAACTTTATCACAACAAATTAGAGAACTTATATGACATGGGCAAATGCCTTCAAAGACACAGATTGCCAAACTGTCATTCTGATACCAAAGCCAGACAAAGAATCATTCAGGAGACTATAGACGAATATCCCTTATGAATATGGACACAGTAGTCCTCAAGATTCCTCACACTCCAGTACTTGTAATGGCTATGCTATAATTCCTTTAAATTTACACTTAACTAGCATAAAAGTTGGGTTTGAATTTTAAGTGTGAATTTCATTTGAAAACTGCTCATTAGCCCATTTGCTTATATTTTTGCCTTATGAAATACATCATACTTAAAAGATTGCACATTTTAAAGAATAATAGTATAACAGACACCTTTAGATACCCATCTAGATGAAGAAATAAAACATTTACTATGCTTTTGAAGATCTTTAATATATTCTTTACATGTCTTCACCTGTCATGTTTATCTGTTTATTTAATTCCTGATGAAGCCAGTTTCCTGTAATTATTCACTTTTCCATACCATTTTAATATACATGTGTGTTCTAAGGCACTACATTGCTTAGCTTTTTTTTTTTTTAAGTTTATTTCTTTATTTTGAGGGAGAGAGAAAGTATGAGCGAAGGAGGGGCAAAGAGAGAAGGTGGGGGAGAGATTCCATGATGTTAGTTCAGAGCCCAATGCAGAGCTTGATCCCACTAACCGTGAGATCGTGACCTGAGCCAAAATCAAGAGGAGTCGGAGTCAGACGCTTAACAGACTAAACCACTCAGGTGCTGCCCCCTTAACTTTGTGTTTAACCTTTGCATAAAGGGTATGATACTATGCATTGGTTTATTCCCCTCATTATTGTATTGAAATTTATACATTTTGATTCATGCAAGTGCAGTTCATTTTCACTCAAGTATTTTATTGTACACATATACAAGAGTTTATCTTCAGTAATATTTATGAGCAATTTGGTTTGTTTCCATTTCTTTCATACTTTTGCTCTTTTTATCACTATTTATGTTTCTTCTTGCACACATTCAAGAGTTTCTGCTATTTAAAAACACAGCTTAAACGCATATATCTAAGTCTTTCTATGTTAATTTTTAACATGGGTTATAGAGTCATTTCTTTTGTACGTAGTCCAGTGTAGAAATTATAGTTACTCCTGGAAAAATAAAAAATTAATAATTATTTAAGCCAATTTCTTTCAGCATTTTAAAGATAGCATTTCATTGTTTTCTGGCTTTCATGTTTCCATTGAGAAATCAACTATGAATGTAATTGTTATTTTTTGAAGATAATCTTTTTTAAACCTTTGAAAGACATCCTGAGTCTTGGGAAACTTCCCCAGGACACAGCAAGTCCCAGATTTTAGCGATGGATGGAGAAGACTGACAAAAATTCAAAACTCCACCATGATGCCAAAAATTCAGGGCTGAAGGCAACATTTTAGTGTCAAATGACTATTGTGTGGATTATCCACAGTTACCGTTGTCTTTTTCCCTTAGCTTATAATATTGGCAGCCATTATTTGCTCTTTACAGTAATAGATTCTCCATTGTATATACTCCATGCACAACTTAAGTGCATTGTTATCCTAGATACTCACAGTCTGTGTTTTACTTTTCCTGTTATGTGTTTTGTATTATGATAAGACTTTAAAATTTTTAAAATTATGAATATTATAGTGATGTTTTCTAAAGCCTGAGATTTAAAAGTGAGAATAGTTACATTACCAACATCAGCATAACCTAGACATTGCCAGAAAAGGAGACGAAATGACTGTCATTTTAATGACAAAGAGTAGGAGCCTTAATACCTGGATTAGGGAGAGTAACCAAAATAAAGTATACTACATGATGTGTAAAAAATATTTTGAGATTGGTCTTGGTGGAGAAGGGGATATAAAAGCAGGTATGGGGGCGCCTGGGTGGCTTAGTCGGTTAAGCGTCCGACTTTCGCTTAGGTCATGATCTCACGGTTCGTGGGTTTGAGCCCCGCGTCAGGCTCTGTGCTGACTGCCAGCTCAGAGGCTGGAGCCTGTTTCAGTCTGTGACTCCCTCTCTCTCTGACCCTCCCCTGCTCATGCTGTCTCTCTCCTAGAAATAAATAAAAATATTTAAAAAAAAAAATAAAAGCAGGTATGGTGGGGCGCATGGGTGACTCGGTCGGTTAAGCATCTGACTTCAGCTAAGGTCATGATCTCACGGTTTGTGGGTTCGAGCCCCTCGTCGGGCTCTGTGCTGACAGCTCGGAGCCTGGAGCTGCTTCAGATTCTGTGTCTCCCTCTCTCTCTGACCCTCCCCTGCTCACACACTCTCTCTCTCTCTCTCTCTCTCTCTCTCTCTCTCTCAGAAATAAAAGCATTTAAAAATTTTTTTTAAAAAAGCAGGTATGGAAACTGAATATTGCAAATAATTTTAAGTCAATAAGAAGGTATTTTTTGTTTTCATCTCCCAAAAGACCCCAGTGATCAGTTAAAAATAGTGGCTATGAAGTGAATTAGCTTGGGCACACTGTACAAATGAACACACATTTAGCCTATCTGTCCCTTGCTTGATTTGTAAAAGTAGAGTTACTTTTAAACTGAATAGAGTTACATTTCATGATTCAGAATTTTCAGCTGAAATATCCTGTGGGTAGACAAGAGAAAGTTTTGATAACATGTTTTGGCCCTTTAAACTTTAGAACTTATTCAGGCAGATCTTAACCAGCAGTCATGCTTTCAGTAGTATATTGTGTTACATCAAATTGTGGCAACAAGGATATATTTCCCATAGCTAATGGGTTTTTTGATGTGAAGAAATGGGGAGTTTTCTATAATCTTGATTTTTAAGATTTTAATAAATTGCAGAAAACATGAAACAAACTTTGCTTTTATATATGTACATATTTAGTAGACAGTGCAAGTGTAAATTTTGACGAATTTCTTTCAGTCCATAAACTTCTTACCAAAGAAAATGAAAAGATCTTACCTGCTAAGTATCATGTATTTCTTCTGTACAGTACTCCTAAAATGGGATACCATTTGCTTACTTGTGATACCGAGGTTTTCAGAAAGAAAAGCTTTCTGTTTTTTTCTTTTTTTTCTTAAATACTTTATTGTCAAGTTGATTTCCGCATAACACCTAGTGCTCATCCCCACCAGTGCCCTCCCTCATGCCCATCATCCCCCTTCCCCTCCCCTCCACCCCCATCAGCCCTCAGTTTGTTCTCAGCATTCAAGAGTCTCTCATGGTTTGCCTCCCTCCCTCTCCCCAACTATTTTTCCCCTTCTTCTCACCCATGGTCCTCCATTAAGTTCCTCCTCATCCTCCTATACGTGCAAACATATGGTAGCTGTCCTTCTCTGCCTGACTTATTTCACTCAGCATAACACCCTCAAGGTCCATCCATGTAGCTCCACATGGCCAGATTTCATTGTTTCTCATTGCCATGTAGTATTCCATCGTATAGATAAACCACTTCTTCTTGATCCATTCATCTGTTGATGGACACTTAGGCTCTTTCCATGTTTTAGCTATTGTTGAGAGTGCTGCTATGAACATTGGGGTACATGTGCTCCTATGCCTCAGCATTTCTGTATCCCTTGGGTAAATTCCTAGCAGTGCTATTGCTGGGTCATAGGGGAGTTCTATTGTTAGTTTCCTGAGGAACCTCCACACTGTTTTCCAGAGGGGCTGTACCAGTTTACATTCCCACCAACAGTGTAGGAGGGTGCCCGTTTCTCCACATCCTCGCCAGCATCTAGAGTTCTCTGATTTGCTCATTTTAGCCACTCTGACTGGCGTGAGGTGGTATCTCAGTGTGGTTTTGATTTGTATTTCCCTGATGAGGAGGGATGCTGAGCATCGTTTCATGTGTCTGTTGGCCATCTGGATGTCCTCTTTGGAGAAGTGTCTGTTCATATCTTCTGCCCATTTCTTCACTGGATTATATGTTTTTTGGGTGTGGAGTTTGGTGAGTTCCTTATAGATTTTGGATACTAGCCCCTTGTCTGATATGTCATTTGCAACTATGTTTTCCCATTCTGTCAGTTGCCTATTAGTTTTATTGATTGTTTCCTTTGCCATGCAGAAGCTTTTAATATTGATGAGGTCCCAATAGTTCATTTTTGCTCTTGATTCCCTTGCCTTTGGGGATGTGTCAAGTAAAAAATTGCTGCGGTGGAGGTCAAGGAGGTTGCTTCCTGCTTTCTTTTCTAGGGTTTTGATGGTTTCCTGTCTCACATTCAGATCCTCTATCCATTTTGAGTTTATTTTTTGTATGGTGTGAGAAAGTGATCTGGTTTCATTCATCTGCACATTGCTCTCCAGTTCTCCCAGCACCATCTGTTAAAGAGACTGTCTTTTTTCCATTGGATACTCTTTCCCGCTTTGTCAAAGATTAGTTGGCCATACATTTGTGGGTCCAATTCTGAGTTCTTTATTCTATTCCATTGGTCTGTGTGTCGGTTTTTGTGCCAAGGAAAAGCTTTTTGATCAGTTTTTAGTTTCTTCAAAACATTCAGAAACAGTGAGATTTTTGACACTATAAAAGTGTCAGAAAATAACCTCTCTAGACATTTGCTTCAACAAAGCTATCATTGTTGCCAGCCATCGAAAAAACTGCTAAAATATTGATAGGAAAATCATATTTTCGAAGAATGGGAGAAGAGTAATATCTTCTAACTTGAAAATACATAAAAATAAATATGGTGGAATAAATGACAGTTAACAGAATTTTTTATTTTTTTAAATTTTTTTGGTAAACAGAAATTTATATGCCTTTTTCTCCAGGACTGTTGAATGATCTTTGAAGAGGCTAAGAGGAACTTTGAGAAGGATGGATTGACCTGAGTTTTTGTGTGGACTATAGAAAAACTCAGTGAACAAAATGACTATTTTTGTTTTTTTGAGAGACTGAGAGTCTCTGAGATGAGACTGTTGAGAACTCAAAAAATGTCACCAGAAAGGGACAGCCAGCTTTAACAAGATTTTCTCAGTTTCTTTACTAAAACTATAATTTTTTGGAATTCACTTTCATTCTCACAAGTTTAAATGATATGTGTGTTTTAAAACCATTTTTCTTGAGGAAGAGAAGTTTAACTTTTAATGACATCCATTATGCTTTGAAGTGTTTAAAATGGGCATTTTAGAAATAAGCAGTCTATATGGTAAATTCATAGATATAGTGGGCCTACAGGTCTATAAACCTGCTGCTTTTAGTAAGTAAAATCTAACTATTCTATGCCAAAATAGTTTCATTGAAATGGTATTATATTCATTTATACCCCCTGGTTTAAAAAAAGAAAAAATGTCATGTCCAAAAGTCTGCAGGCAGATTAGAGAAGTATTGTTAAAAAAGGAAAGATAAAAAGTAAAAGTATCTTACCAGATCATGGAATAAAAAGAAAGTAATTTTTAAGTTAAATATAGAGAATACCTGTTCAGTCATGATATGTATAATTTCCTTTTAAAAGTCTTCTATTTATGTACTTTAATAATACACAGTAATAAAGCCTGCAATATTTATTATCTAATAAAGAGCTTAAAAAGTTAAATTGTATATCAGAGAACAGAACCTAAATAGTTATGTTTTTCTCAAACATTATTTGTTTAATTAATCCTATTAATTACTGATTGCTTCTGTTAAGTAGTTCTCTTGTTTTGTTTAAATAATCACATTTGTGTAGTGGAAAAGTACAGAACACACATTGATAATTTTTTGAAAAACATTTTTATATTTTTATGTTAAAATAGTAAAAAAATGTATATAAATATTTTTTCTATATTCTTTTGCATGGGGAGATCTGGTTAGTTGTGTCCTCTGATAACTTTTTAAAAGCGTTGGTCACCCTATACCAAAGAGGTTTAATTCAATTCTGTATATTTGAGATTATAGGAAAAAATAAACTAAATAAATGAAATGTTCTAAATTTTAAATTTCTTTTTTCCTAGAAACTGAGTTTACTGAGGTTAGAGGGCAAATAAAAGGACAATAGGAGCTAACATCAGTCCCTTCCTAATTTTCTTACAGATATAAAGTTGTTGAGTTCTTCTGTTGTTTTCAGGGGAACGCATATGTACACCGCCACACCACATCCTCTCATACAGAACAGTCAACAAATAAGCATCCTCCCCTTCCTCCAAAAAACTTCAGCCACCCCACCACCTACTTGGGTTTACTAATTATAATGTTGAATTAACAAGGGAACATTAGAAGTTGTATAGTCCTTTTCTTATACATTTATACTTTCTTGTTTACTTTTTAAACCTTTCTTCTTTTTTGTATTTATCCCTTCTTTTCTTTAGATATTCTATTGGATAGCATAGAGAAATTACTTAAACAATGCATTCTTGTTGTAGTATTTTTAAGTCAACATCCTTATTACTTATTCTCAAGAGCCTTCAAAACTAAAAATTCCAGTTGACATGCCAAAGAAAACCATATTTCTAGGTTTTCAGCATTTTTTTCTTTCAATAAAGACATTTTTCACATTGAACATCAGATTTTATATTTCTATGGCATATCTGTCACATCATGTACTTTAAAATGGAAGTTGTTAGAAGAAATTAACTTTTCATATTTTTGCCCTCCCATGTCACACTGGAATTTTGCTGCAGCAATATAAAGCCAAATTTAGGAGAAGGATGTCTCTTTTAAAGGTCTTTTAAGGGGTAACTGGGTGGCTCAGTCTATTAAGGATCCTACTTCTGCTCGTCTTGATTTCATGGTTCATGAGCTTGAGCCCCGCGTCAGTCTCTGTGCTGTCAGCTCAGCCTGGACCCTGCTTCAGATTTTGTGTTTCCCACTCCCTCTCCTCCTCCCCCACTCATACTCTCTGTCTCTCAAAAATAAATAAATGTTAAAAAAATTTTAAAAGAAAAGGCTATTTAAAAGGACTGTTTCTACTATTAAATGATAATAAAAAATATCTTATTCTTTTGACAGTCATATTAAATAGACATCCAGGACTACTGGATGTTAAACACTAATTCCTAATGAGAGTATTTCTTATGTGCTAGACACTGTGATTGTATGCCTTAGATAAATCTCTTGTGGTTACATAATAACCATTGGTGGTATTATTTCCATTTTGGAGATTGAGGAAATAAAGGCCATTGAGAGGGAATTTAGCAAATGTCAAGGGGTTTTGTTTTTGTGTTTTTGTGTTTTTTTAAGTGTCAAGGTTTAAATCCTTGTTTGTCTCCCATTCTGTATTGTATACATGATGACAAGAGGGTTTGCTTCTTATTTCAGCCTTATTAAATATCACAGTGTTTTACAAACCAAGGATTTTTTGCCAATTACTTTCAGTAATATGATTGATTACATTATATAATTCTACTATAAAGAATAAGTTTGTATTTAGACACTCAAAAGGTCATTACTACTGTTATTTTCCTCTGTTTGTTAGGCATCTCCAAGAGTTACTGTTGATGATTATTTGGTAGCAAAATTAGCAGATACTTTGAATCATGAAGATCCAACGCCTGAAATCTTTGATGACATTCAAAGGAAGGTATTATACGTCACATTTATCATTCTTTCTTATGAAAAATATATTTCTATATGCACGTAATTTAGTTTTTCAAAGGCTACTGAAACATAAAGTATAAATAACTAAAAAGGTGAGTTATGGAACTAACATTTCTCAATTACAAAAAAGGTAGGCCAGTTTGTTTGTTTGTTCATTTAATTGACAAATGAGGAAAATCCTTATGTTGGGTGGTTGTTTAAATCTGACTAAAGGGTCAGGTATATAGTCTTAGACTTTCATGAGTTGATGATAGTTACCTGACTTAATTTATTTTACTATGATCCTGGAGCCTTTATGTGGACTTGTTTCTTAGGAAACACTACTTCTGCAAACACTGTATACGACATGCCGTGTGACTTGCATTGCAGTAGGACCATTTTCAGTGCACTTTAGGTACTGGAGAGTCCATTAATTATGAAATTAGTTGAGAAATCATTATTTGTGATATAGGCTTATTGCTGACATTTTAGAAATATGGAACCTGTGATTCATTATAGCAAGACCTCTGTCTAGCTTTTGGTGAAATCTTATTAGTGAAAATTAGTATATTGTCTATATTAATGATGACATATCTTGATTCATTTCAATAAGGTTTATGAATTGATGCTACGAGATGAAAGATTTTATCCTTCCTTCAGACAGAATGCACTTTATGTGCGCATGTTAGCCGAGCTGGACATGTTAAAAGATCCTAGTTTCAGAGGATCAGATGATGGCGATGGAGGTAAGGTGTCATACTTGCACGTGTGTATGTGTGTGTGTGTATTTGTCTGTGTGTGTGTGTGTATGTGTGCACGCGCACGTGCACACGCATGCAGATGTGTTCCTATACATATTTTGTTACCAAAAAAATGATGTTTCAAGCAAGATAAAAAAATGCCCTGAAGCCCAATTATAAATTATATTTAAAATTCTATAAATAAATGACAAAGTTTAGTTATGACATTAAATTAAAACGCTGAAAATTTAATAACAGATTAGAACATAGCTATAAAAGCCTTGGAGTCTTAAAGAAGAATGTTTTCTTGAGTTGTGTCACCCAAATGTTTTTTTATGATAGTTTCCCTTTTGCTAATAATTAGTAGTATTCATGATTAACAGGATTATTGAGAAGATTAAATGAGATGACAAGTAATGATCCTGAGAGAGTACCATAATCCATACAGCATTGCTTTTTGTTTTGTTTTGTTTTTTGTTTTTTTCCTTTTAATAGTTTATTGTCAAGTTGGTTTCCATATAACACCTAGTGCTCATCCCCACAAGTGCTCTCCTCCATGCCCATCACCCCCCTTCCCCTATCCTCCACCCCCATCAGCCCTCAGTTTGTTCTCAGCATTCAAGAGTCTCTCATGGTTTGCCTCTCTCCCTTTCCCCCACCATTTCCGCCCTTCTTCTCCCCCTTGGTCCTCCGTCAAGTTCCTCCTAATCCTCCTATACGTGCAAACATATGGTATTTGTCCTTCTCTGCCTGACTTATTTCGCTCAGCAT